GTCACTATTAATATGTATTACAAGACTAATACATATTAATAGTAATAGTATAGTCAATAGTCATAGTATAGTCTACACTCTACAGTAATTAAGCCAAGACGACGTAGTAGTATATGTACCTAGTCACCAGTAAAACAAAACGAACACAAATTTATTCAGAATGATAACTTAGTTAATTTTAAAGTTTTTGTTCTTGTGTAAGTAGATTCATACCCTGACATTTCATTTACGGGAAATTGTGTCAAGTTCTGATAGTTAATTCCTGGTGTTTCCCATGGTTTGACTGGAGCAGACATTTTTTATCGTCTATAGCCTGCGAACAATTTGGTTCTTTTGTTTTTAATAATTTTCACATTTCTGATAAATGGATATAAAATAAGCCCATATCCTATGATATAATAATGTAATGGATAGTTTTATTCAGGCTACTCATGAAATAAAGTTAGGATTACTAATTAGGGCTACTCATTAAATAAAGGCAGCATTAGGATCCCATTAAATAAAGTTAGGAATTTAATTTAAAAAGTATCGACAATCCATTCTATTAAAATTTCAAAAACTCCAAATTATTTTTTCCAAATTTAATATTTAAGTTTTCTGCTTAAATATTAATAAATCAAGTTGAAAGCTGTGTTTAAACTGTTAAGCCTTTGTTTTGTACGATATTTTGGATTTATGGCATTGATTATAATTGATTATAACCATTTCAAAAAATTTGCTGTAACATAGATTATGTGTCATGAGATGATTGTGTCTAATTTTGCGTCACGATTTGTGACTTTTTTTTTGGTGGGGAGTGGTGGTGGTTTGGGGGGGGGGCAGGTGCACAGGGCCACAGCCTACACACTTCAAATTCAAAAGTAGCAGAATTAAGAAATATATAAAATGATTTAAAAAAGAAGATAATTTTTTTTTTAAAATATCTTGTTTGCATTAGTAGATATTTGCTTTGTTCATTAAATGCACAAAACATTGCAAATCCCCTCTACATACAAAGGAGGCAGAATGATCAATACCCTCAATATATAGAAGAAGAAGAAGAAGAATTTCTATCAAAGACAAGTTTAAAAGCATTAAAATATTATATATAGGGGCATATATATATATATTAGGGACTGGAATGAGATAACAAAAGCAACAGTTTAGGCGACAACAATTGGCACATTTGCGTATATTGCCTCTTGCCTTCTAACCCCCAGTTCCTAATACTAATACCATCGCTGAGTAGCCCTTGCAACCATGGATCGCTCTTCAAAACCATGCACAGAAACATCCCAACCCCACCTCTACAAACATAGGAATAGGACCCAGACAGAACCATCAATACATATATCGTGGGCCCTCAAAATATAGAAGAAAAAGGTTTTTTTTTAAACATTCTTAAATGCACTACTAGGCGGCCTCACGCTTGTAAGGAACCTCATGCTTTTAGGACAGGGGTCGGCAACCTGCGGCTCCTTTGATGTCAAGATGCCGCTCTCCAGTTCCATGCGCAAATATTAATAATTATATAGAATAAAAATGTTAGTGGCTCTTTAAAAACTGGGAAATTTTGTAAATTGTAACTTTTGGCTCTTCCATCTCAAAAGTTGCCAACCCTTGTTCTAAGGGCATCAAGTCAACCATAAATTCCCATATTATTAATTATTGATGAATTAAATGAATCTTAATCATGTTAGGGATTGTCTGGTGATGCTCTCTGAGTTTTTCGGAGATTGTGCCCTAGGGCTATCCACTTCAATCTTTTCCTTATGAAGTCTTCATCAATAGGCTCCTGGTATGTCCTTTCCAGTAAGTTGATGATGGCGTTTGGCCATGTGATGTTCAGGATCTCTCTAAGGAAAGGGTTTATGAAGGTCTGTACTTTCTGCCTAATGCTCACCGTCGTTTTTCAAGTAGCGGCTCCATAGAGTAGGACTATTTTGTGTTGAAAAATCTGACTGGAGTGAAGAGTCAGACCCTGTGACTCTCATATTTTCTGTAATAGCGCAAATTCATGACAGAGACGGATGCTCTTGTTTGGCTGGGTTTACGTCAGGATCTTTGTCTTGCTTTTATGTATATAAATAAAAGCAAGATTCTTCTGCGCCCTCGAATTCTTCCCTACATCCCGATGAAAATGATCGCTAATTTTGGTGACGATAAATAGTGCTAAAGCTAGTGTAAGTGCCACCATTGGCTGCCAAAATTTGTTGCCGCTCTTTCTTTCACGATACAAACTCTGCATTTGCCAAAAAATGACGCACATCCATATAAAGAAAAAGTGACACATGAGTGAACAACCTCATTCTTCCCCATTTCTACGCCACATGGCAGGGGCGTAACTAGAGTGTTTGGCATCAGGGGACATGATTTATTTTAGTCCCATTTCTACGCCCCAGGGCAGGGGGGTAACTAGGGTGTTTGGCATCAGGGGACATGATTTATTTTAGCCCCCCCCCCCCCAACTCTGAAACTAATTATTTTCATCTAGTCTGCGCCCCGGGGACGTACGTTCCATCTGCCAGCCCTTAGTTACGCCTCTGGACACTGATCACTGGCACCCCCCCCCCGGAAAATCTGCAATTCCCCCCGGGGGAAAATGTTTGACAGCAACACTGATCTGAAGAATTGGAGTTTGCAGCTTCAGCTTCTTTCTTCTGAGCTTTCTTTAAAAATCGAGCAAATAAAGTAATAGACTTTTTTTAAATGCTATTTCGGCTTCATTATTTCTTTTGCGACATTGGGTCACACTTCTTTTTCTTCCTGACATGACTGACAAAAAGTATTAAAAATATTACTATATTACTGAGTGTACTGAAGTGAAAAAGGAGTGTGGGCATAAACATGATGGCTCTGGTATAGTGCTACTACAATAAATAATTATCATTATAATTATTATTTACGTGCATATTAAAGTGTATTTATACACCAAAGGGCAGATTAAGCTCCAGATATTTAAAAATATCGATGTACATTTTTCAAATTCTATATGCCTAAATGCATTACAGATAAAACTTGTTCGCCCGCCACCGTAACTCCTGCTTTTAAGTGTGGCTAGAGGCGAGTATGATGGGCTAAAAAATATACCCCCCCCCGAGGAGGGGGCATTTCCGATTTTTGGGGGTGGGGGGGCAGTGACAGTGGCAAGAAGCGTAGCGAAGGGGGGAAGAGGGGGGCAGATATACCTATGCACCATCCTAGCGGGACGCCAAAATGGGGTGTCATGGTATTTAATGCATCAAAATTGTGCGAACAACGGGAAGTAAGACTTCGGCTTATTATCAGAAGCGGCCAGTATGATATTTTGAATTGAATACAATCAGCCTTTAACAAGATTAGCCTGAAATATACGGATCGTCAAATACATCGAGCGTTGCGATATTTGAAATATTCCACTAATTGTAGAGGGATAAAGCACAAGTTACAATTCCTTTTAAAACTGTTTTAAAATGACAATCTAGTCGTTTTTTATTTTAAAAATATATAAACATCTGTTGTTTTTATCCAGTTTGCTCGGGGTGGGGCACTTGACTCTCCCGGGGGTGGTGGGAGGGGAGAGAGATAGTGGAGAGAGGGAGGGAGAGGAAGAGAGAGGGAGGGAGAGAGGGAGAGAGGGAGGGAGGGAGAGGAAGAGAGAGGGAGAGAGAGAGGGAGGGAGGGAGGGAGAGGAATAGAGGGAGAGAGAGAGAGGGGGGGGCGGAGAGGGAGGGAGAGAGAGGGAGGGAGAGGAAGAGAGAGGGGGAGGGAGGGAGGGAGAGGGG